CTGCTGTAGAATTGAAATTTCCATTTATCTTATGTTCTCCATGTGAAAAGGCAAGCCGGAAATGCTGTCCTTGGAGGCAGGGAGGTTGCTCAGGGCCAAGGCACCCTGGGAATGGATGAGGGCGATAGGGTCCCCCTTTGTAAGCTCAAGGGTTTGCACGGAGGAGAATCCAGTCTTCCAAGGAGCCCAGAGGGCTGCAAAGAATCCTCACCGCACATCCGCTCTGTGAATCCACTCGGCATTGCCCCTCAGAAGGAGTGAAGCTCTCTACCTCCCATCTTCTTTCTCATGAATACTCTCCCATCCCCATGACTGAATTTGGGTGTATCCACCATCTACTACTTGAGGTTTTCAGATGCCCTCTTCAAGTGATTCCATAATAGATGGTTGATTTGCCCATTGATTCTTGGGTATTTCAATTTCCTTCGATGCTGATGACACTCCCTAGAGTTCCAGGGACCACCCAGGCCCACCTTAATGTCTGCCTGGGGGCCCTTTCTGTTTCCTTGTGTTTAAATAGTGATCAGTGATAAGCCTCTATCTGTCCATTTCCAGAAACTGCTGCTTCTGGCCTAGAAAGTCTTTCTTTTCTGCTTCAAGTCCTTTCCTCAAAGATCTGCTGGAGACTCCAGAAAGGAATGCTGATCTTTCCCCAACCCTGCTTTTTCCCTACAGCTCTCCACTGATTGCACACAGCCTGCCACCCGCTTGCACAATCCACTTGCGTTCTTTATCGGGGTCCTGCTGTGTGTAACGCCCCTCACAAGGTTAGCAATTCCTGAGTGCAAGGAACCTATCCCACCTCACCCTCACACCTTGCATGGTTTCTGCTCCCATGAATAATGACAAGAACCAAGCTTGGAAGCCAGCCGGGCCAGTGAGCTCTGCCAGACTGGGTGATCCTGATAGCCACGCTGAGCCTTAATGTCTTCATCTTTAACTTAGCATTTCGTGAGGATTAAGTGGGGTAGCATCCATAAGGTCCTTGGTTTATAATGACAGTGCAGTAATGGTTTAGTCCCCTCCCTTCGTTCTTGCCCAGCCTGCCTGTGGGGGGCTCGGCGAACCCTCCATCAACAGACCACAGCATTTGGGTTCCAGGTTGAGCTTTCTGAAGCTGCTCCTCAGATGTACTGGGACTAGTTAATGATCTCTTCTCCAACCAGACCCACCCCTGGGTGGGCCCCCTCCCTCTTCTTAACTTGTCCTTGACCTAAGTAACTTTGCCCTTGGAAGAAGGTACTGCCAAGTCAAGGTAGCAGAAGGCAGAAACAGAGCACAAGACCACAGGGGAGAAAACGAGTGCCTTCCAGCCCGAAGTTGTGAACTACTTGAAGAATCTCACACTGGTCTTTTAACTCCTCTTGGCTTCACTTTCTTGGTTCATAAGATGGGAATAATGAGTCCCATTCCTGTTCTTTTTATTATTCTTTTTTAAAGATTTATTTATTTAAGAGAAAGAGAGAGTGCACGTGCTAATGAACAGGGGGAGAGGCAGAGAGAGAATCTCAAGCAGACTGCCGTCTGAGCGTGAAGCCTGACTTGGGCTCCATCTCAGGATCCTGAGATCTTGAGATCTTGAGATCTTGACCTGAGCTGAATTCAAGAGTTAGAGGTTTAACCAACTGAGCCACCCAGGCACCCCTCCTGCTCTTCCCTTAAGGGAGAGATGATATGCATGGAGAAGTGGGTTTAGGTTCAGAAATTAAGTTTAACATCCTGATACCATATTGTTTCTATATCTCAGGCAAGTCCACTTCCATCAGCCGGTTTTCTAACCTATCAATAAGGGTAATAATACCCCTTTTATTGCAACAGAGCAGATATGAGACCCACAATCAAAATAAGACCATGCACCTTACCTTGTGTTATATTATGAACTCCAAGAAACCGTGGGGGTGAAGGGCTTTATTTTAATGTAGCAAATGCTTGAAAAATGGTAAAATCTCTACACAGGAACAGTGTGGGATTCTGTGTGAAGTTCCTAAGACAGGGCTGTTTGGGATGGACGCTAGAATCATCTTACAATATTTATGATGGTCATATTTCCTGGTAAGTGGTATCAAATCCAAAAACCTGTCAAAGGGACAGATGGCATTCTTAGCACAAAAGAGGAAACCAATTAGAAGTTAAAATACAGAAAAATGGGAACTTGTAAATGCTAACAAATTGTTTCAGTGTGGAGGACTGTGCTATTTTCCCTGACACTTGCTAAGGAAGGTTTCCGTCTGGTTCGGCAAAGCTCACGGGGCACTGCCTGTTAGTGTCTAAAGAAATTCCACAAACTCTTTCTTCTATTCCCCTTGATTTCAAACTTTCATACCTAACCCAAGTTGTCAGGCAGATGCTGACAATTGCACCTTGTCACTTAGACAGTGACAGACTGTTTCTTTGCAGCTCAGAAATGAACACTAAGCGCTAGGCTTTAAGAAGCAATTTCTAAACACTATCCTTGCATTCATTTAGTCTATCAACAAACATTTATATATGATTTCTTTATAACTTCTGCACTTAAGGTACCTACAAGCCAGGGGGGTGATAGACAAAGACCTTTACAGAAAGTTCAGGTAAACTTACTTTGTGCTATAACATATTGTGTCATGGAGGAATGAGCTTTCACCTCGACACAGGGGAGCGGAAACATGGCTTCACAGACTGGGAGACATTTAAGCTGTGGGATGAGAAACGGGAGTTTGTCCAGGAGGTAAGGGTAGATAGGGTTGTATCCATCAGGATGGGTGAGGGTGTGCTACAGTAACAAACAACCCCCAAATCTCAGTGGCTTCATAGAACAAACGCTTATTTTTTGTTCTCATTACATGTGACAGCATCCTTATTAGACAAGCAGGCCCTCATGAAGAAAGACCACGGCAAAAAATATTTCCAGATTGCAGCTGTTAAGCTTTTTGTTAAAGCTTCCCATTGGATTAAGATGGCCGCCCACCGGCCAAAACAGTATGGGGAAGAAAGAGGAAAAGCATGGCTGGGCCAAGGAGCCCTCATAAGCCGAAGGTACTGAAAATAAGCTGGAGAGAAAGAGGTATCTTGAAGAGAATTGCATCTGTGGCTAGAGCTGATAGGAATCTGCTTATTCCCGGGTAGAAGCCCCGGCCTGTTCCTGAGCCCACACTCACCGTTCCTCTGAACTCCCTTGGGCCATCGACACAGAACTCACAATTGACTCAAGGGTGGCACTTATTAGACCCTTTAAATTTTCATGATGCATGGTCATACCTGGCACAAAGGAAGTGCTCAGTAAATATCTGTGGAATGAGTGAATGAATTTCTCTTCTCCCCAAGCAAGACTGACTGATCTCTAAGTATGCGTGGAATGTCAGGACCAGCATCCTACGGAAAAGTGAGGCAACAGACCTGTGGTTCTCGAATTTGGTTTTAGTAGCAAAACCCTTTATTAAAAAATAATAAATAACGTTTACACTAAGCCCAACTTCTTAAAAAATGAGATAAAAGTGGACTGGCTGGGGTGGATTGGGAAGAGGGGACCCTGGACCCCACTCTCTCAGCCTCCTTTTGGCTCCCTCTAGAGGAACCTCAGGCATCTTGAGGATTTTCAGACCCACGCTGAAGGCCACTCCTTTAGATAAATCAAATCACAGACAACAAAACCCCAGCACTTTCTCGTGAAACCAACAGATGGTTCTGGCTTCCATCTCTTCTTCCTGTTGAAAGCTGCAGTTGTCCCCATTCTCTTCTCAGGGGCTTGGGATTGTGGTGCATTTCCTCCACAATAAGGAATGAAATGTTCTGAAGAGCCATGTGTGCGTTTTCAGGAGGAGAGGTCTGAGAGAAGCCATGGCTGTGGCATCCTCATCATGGAGTGCCCTGCAGGTCCAGGGGCTGGGCCTCCTCCAGAGGACAAACTTGCTAAGCAAGGCTCCCCGTGCCTCCTGAGGGCAGGAGTCCTCGTATCTGTCACCTCTTCTGCAGAGTCAGCTTCAGGTCCGGAGGAAGACTGTCTTTCTCTCCATCTGAGACTCATTTCTCACAGTCCAGCCTGCAGAGAAGGGAAGCCGGCTCACAGTCAGCTCCTCCCCTCTGGCCCACAACATTACGGGACGGGAGTGGCAGTCCCCTCTGTGAGCAGCCTTCCGGGGCCTGCTCCCAGCACTGCCAAGGACAGCCCGACCTGCAGGGCCCTCATCACGCTCTCAGAGGGGCAAAGTCCGCTTGTCTCCTATCCGTGGCATCTCACCGGACTTCTGTGGACAGGACACGGTTGATGCCTCCGTAAACTTTGTAAACATCACCCTCCATGCCAGATGGAGTCTTTCGTCCCCTTTTCCTCGTTCTGCTCCGTGAAAACCCAGGGTCAGCCTTAGATGATGCCAGGCTCTCCACGCACCTCTGAAACCAGGAGGACGGGTGTGGGGATTTTCATTCTGTGAACTGGGGGGCGAGCGAGGTCCCCTCCCCTTCTCTGCACTCATGGAGGCCCTAACTACCCCAGTGTCACCCCAGGGAGTGCTCCTCTGGCTCAGGCCACGCTCCAGGCAGCTGGGAGGACAGCATCCCACACACGGGGTGGGTGGGGGGGGGTGGGCGCTGCCCAGGTTGGGACAGAAGCCCAGTTGCCAGCCCCGTGCAGGCTCCACTGTCCCGAATTTGGTGATTTCTAACAGGTGATGTCTAACATTGGGTGATTTCTAACACCTCAAAGGTGCTCACGAAACACTGGACCCCTTACAACTGTGTTTGGATGAAGAGGAGCCCAGCCCTCAGCCTGATGTCCTAGATCGGGCTTCCTCCAAAACCAGGGGATAGCCTCAGCTCAGCCTAAGACACAAGGTCAGATGCCAAGGGGCCACTTTGCATTTTTAAATGGTCTTTCTGTTGAGGGAGGGCTTTGAGGAGTCAGGTCAAGAAAAAGCAGGTTTGTGAAGCAGACCAAAGCCCCCTTTCCTCCACCTTGCTCCCAACTCTCTCACCTCCCAGCTGCCTGGAAGCCTCCTTGAGCCTCAGTCTTCTCAGGTGTAAGATGGGGACAGTGGGTTCCTCTGTCCTTGTGGGGTCGCTATCACTGCCAACTGTGAGATAAATGACAAAATGCCGTATAACTGTGGGGTGATTCTCAATATCACAGAAATAATCCCCACTCATCCAGAATCCCCTCCTTGTCTCCTCTGGAGTATCTCCTTCCTGCTGTCTGGATCTCTGCCCTCTTTTAGAGATGAAACATCAGGTTAACCCGAATTTTTCTGTTTTCATCCAACTGTTTAGGATCATGGACCCAAAGAAAACACCACAGTTCACTGGCATTATGTCCTCTGAAACCTCTCTTTAAAAACCTAATGGAACAATACACGGCCGTGATGAGGACCAAGCAGGAGCTCAGGTCCATCTTGTAGCGTGAGATGGAAAAAGAAGCTGAGGAACAGTGCAGAACATGAGATCGTTCTTTTTTTTAAGCGTTATTGATTTATTTGAGAGAAAGAGAGAGCACGAGCGGGGTGGGGGTGGGGAATGGGGAAGACAGAGAGAGAGAATCCTCAAGCAGACTCCCCGCTGAGCACAGAGCCAGACTCGGGGCTCGATCTCAGCACTCTGAGATCACCACCTGAGCCGAAACCAAGAGTTGGACGCCCAACCAACTGAGCCACCCAAGGGCCCCCAACATGAGCTCATTCTTGAAGCAGTAACATCACACTTATAAATGTGCTTATCTCTTCATTTATGACAGGTCACACACCAGGCTGTTTGGTGGGATTATTGGGGGCTGAGATTAAGGATTGACATGGAGAGGTGGCAAGGGACTTTTCATTCGTTTTTCTAGTATTTGGATTTTTTTTTTAAACCGTGATTCGTTATTACTTATTTAAAATTTTTTTAATTAAAAAATGTTTTAATATTCCTTTTTAAATTAATGAAATTTTAAACATCAGCAGACACTTTAAATATATGGCCTTAAAATAGATTTTAATATGTTGCCTACATCCGTTCTTACTATTTAATTTTCTAAATCAGTTAAATTGAACATTCTTTCTCATATTTAAAATCAGAACCTACAGTCCTAATCATTCCATTTATTGATACAATAATTGGATACAACCATTGTTGTCTACAACCCAGGCTGAGTGCCAGACACTGGATAGATTTTTCTCACTTAATCTGCACTCTAACTTTGCAAGGTTAATTATTTTCATACCCATTTTCCATCTGAAAAAGCTAAGGCCTAAGGTCACACTGTTAATAAGTGGCAGAGCTGGGATTCTAAACCTGCTCAATCTGACTCAATCTGACCAAAGTACATATTTGTTTAAAAAAGCACCTTTCTGCGGGTTCCCATGTGTCATCTTAAGACTGCATTAAGCCTCATATATATAATTAAAACTTTTTACTTTCTTTTTTTAAGATTCTATTTTTTTAAGTAACCTCTACACCCAACGTGGGACTCAAACTCACAACCCCGAGATCAAAGCCACATGCTCTACCAACTGAGCCAGCCAGGGGCTTCTAAAAATTTTTAAATATATATTTGTACATGCAACCTGATTTTTACTTTTATTTTTTAAAGATTTTATTTATTTATTGGAGAGAGAGCGAAAAGAGAGCAGGAGCAGGGGAGGAGAGGGAGAAGCAGGCTCCCTGCAAACAGGGAGCCCGATGCAGAGCTCGATCCCAGGACTCTGGGATCATGACCTGAGCCGAAGGCAGACGCTTAACCCACCGAGCCACCCAGGCGCCCCGCGACCTGATTTTTAAGTGAATAATCAATATAGCATGTTAACTCTCTTCCCCAAACATTGACCCTGTCCCCCCAAATGAGCAAAGGCAGAGGTAGATCTTAGGATCTGCTGTCCTTTATGAAAATGACATCTAAGTGAAGGCATGGCAACTTACTAATCTGTTCAGAATGCCTTCTCAAAGATTTCTCAAATCCTGTTAAGTCTGTAGACTTCTAACAGCACAATGTGGAAAGAAGTCTGGTAGGGAACTCCCGAGAGCCCCACCCTACCGTAATCACAGAGGCAGAGGCAGAATGTGCTATCTAGCGGGTCTGTTTATTTCCCTATAGGATTCAGTTCTCAAGGGACTCCTCAGATCAGAAGGGAAGTTTTCTTTCTTTTTTTTTTTTTTAATTTATTTATTTATTTTAGAGAGAGAGAGAGAGAGAGAGAGCAGGAGAGGGAGGGGCAGAGGAAGAGGAGAGAGAATCTCGAGCCGACTCCGTGTTGAGCGAGGAGCCCTACCCAGGGCTCAGTCTCAGGACCCGGAGACAGTGACCTGAGTCAGAAGCTTAACCGAGTGCGCCATGCAGGCGCCCCAGAAGTGAAGTGTGATTGGGGGTGGGGGGAGATGACTAGGAACTCCTTTCCAGTACAACATAAAGAATTTGGTAACTATTACATGAGGCCAACAGTGAATGGGGCTGTCTTGGTAGGTATTGAGATGCCTGTCACTTAAAGGATTCAAAAAGAAATGAGTGAAGCATCAGACCTGCTATAGAAGGGATTTTTGCATAAAAATAAATTCTGTGATTCTCAACTGCATGCTTTGCATTTTTTATTCATAGTTGATAAGACTACCGTGTGGCCCTAGGGGAGGACGTCCCTGAGGTGAGCCGTTCTATTGTTCAAATTCACTCTGCAGTCATAGCGTTGGGTTATAAAACCTGTTAGTTTCTGAAGGTTTGGATTTTAAAGACCATCAATCAATTGTTTGGTCCTAATTAATTTCGCTTGAGAACATCTGACATGTTAACAGAAATAGCAATTAAAATTGAATGGTGGTGTAATCACCATCTCAAATATTTAAACAATGTGATTATATAATATCTATCAACAGAGTGAAGAAAAAAACCCACTCAGGGAAATAGATGTGAAGGGAAAATAAGTATTGCTTCAGGGGTTGGAAAATGCAGTATCTTCTTATGCCTCCCAGATCTTCAAGGTACAAGACAACAAGACAAGCTCTTGCTGGCCCCTCATGCTGACTTCTGACAATGGTGAGCCCCCAGAGGCCCCACACCTTGGGTACTCGGAGCTGAAATATGCCCCGCAGTTGTCTGCTCCGATCATAATCAGACAAAGGATGTTCTGTGTTTTCCCTGAATGTGTCAGACTGCGTGGGGTCCTCCAGATCATCCCCTGAGCCTGGGGCTGAAATATTGGGGGCGGGGAGGGAGGTTCTCATTCAGCCAGGACAGATTTATTGAGGGCTTACTATGCACCCACGGGAACTTCCAAATCTCTCTTTGCATCCCTACCTTATTTCCTAAAAAACCTACACCCATCTATTTGATGCTCACAGGCATTGCCTCCTGGAATCCCAGAGATACACCGCAGTTAGCGTGTTCCAGATGAGCTCCTTATCTTTCCCCTCCAGCCGGCTCCTCCTGCCGAATTCCCTCTTTCAGTCATGGCACCGCTGGTGACCCAGATCAGAAGCCTGGGAGTCAGGCTCATCTCCTCCTCTTTCTTTATCTTGCCTTTTTGCAGTGACCATATTTTATTATTGCTACATCCACCCAGGGCTTATAGAAGCCACCAGAATGTCCATGCCTTATCTGATGCTAGCTCTACTTTGGGCTAACCCTAGAATATAATGGAAAGGATGTAATTGTCCTGGATACCAGTAGTTTAGTCCTTCCATACCAATTGGTAATGAGTCACAATGCCCCCCCTCCCCCCCCAACCTCTGGCCCTTCCCAAGATCTAGCCACCAAAAGATTAATGTCTGGCCCAGCAAGGGGCCTGCAGGAACTTGAGCCTGCAAAGGTGGGTTTTGATTGGCTGGTGCCTAGGTGGGACCATTTATCAGTATTTGACCACCGTGGTCATGGCTCATGGATGGCTTACCTGCTAAGGCACAGTAAGCCCCATGCCTAAGACTCACTATACTTTAGGGGGCCCACAGAAATGTCTTATGTTCAATGTGTTTTAGAATCAGAAGGGGAAAAACCCTGAAGACAACAATAATGAATATGTAAAAATGAATCGTGTCTGGCTTACATTTGTCTTTGTACCGACATAGCCATAAAATATAATTTGTAAGTGTTTTTACTGGGTGGGGCCGACAAGCACCAAAGCAAACTCAGATCACAGCCTGTTCTCACTCTCCTCCCCACCCATCCCTCATCTCTGCGAATATGGGGTTTTATCATGCTTTTCTATGTGCACTTCCTTCCTCTTTGCCTCACTTTGCCACCAGCCCCATCTGCTGACCATCCACTGGGTGCCCATTCTGGGAATTTGGAAACGAGCAAGACACTCCTTGCCCTCAGCTTTTGACAGTCCAGGGGGGATGAAGGCACACCGATCGCTAACTGCAGTCCCGTGAGGTAGGTGTTCCAACAGAAGCCCAAGAGCGCCCAGGACAGAGAGGCCCCGCTCCACACAAGTGAATCGAGGAGAAGCTTCTCCAGAGAGGTGATGTTTGAGCTCCAGGAGACACACACCTCAGCTCCCCAGCTGAATTTCCCTCTCAGCGCAGACAGGATGGCACAGACTGGGGACCATGTCAGTGGTTGAACTTCTCCCCCAGGGACTGCATGTGCCCACACCTCTGGTCCCAGTGTCTGTCCAAGATGGAGAGTTCATCTCAGTGAATTGCCTCAGTTGTGGAGAGTGTTTGGATGTGGACGGAGGCCGACTCCCGGGTGAGCCATCACTCTAGAGAACTGCCACCACCCACCTCGGAGGAGGGAGTCCATGGCATCCACTGAACAGTCGCCTCATGAGGGGTGGGAAAAGCGTAGCCAGCGGTGCTGGGATGTGCTATGGCTGTGGAGGCCTCAGTGACCCATCTCGTTCCTCCCCTCTGCCCAGGACAGTCACCAGACTGGTGTTTAGACCTTGGCCAGAGGGAAGACAGGGGGGTGGAGGGTTGGCCAGGCATGATGGTGGCCCACTAGGCCAGCAGCTCCTGCATCCTGAGGCAGTGTCCCTGACCTCCCCCTCTCCCATCCACACTGTATTCCAGCCCCAAAGGCTGTTCTTACTCCACACATTGCCTGTGTTTTCATACCTCTGGGCCACCTCTTCTCTAGTTCTGAAGTCTTACTTGGCCTTCAAAGCCCTCACAATGA